CTGTCCTCTAGATTATCGATTAAAAGAATTATTATATCACATTGTACATTTGCGTAATTTAAGAGGATCTTTCTCTCTCTCTCTCTCTCTCTTTCTTTCTCTCTCTCTCTCTCTCTCTCTCTCCTATTTTAATTTCAATTTTAACAACTAACAGTTGCAACTTATTTCCATTAAAATATAAAGTCAGGGATCTTTGAAAATGCGAGTATAGTGACAATCTAACCGACCGACAGACAATGCGAAATACAGCAGACGAAGTTCAGTGGACGAAAGCGCGGAGTGCAAAATCACCGAGGTATCGCGGCTACGCGATATTCGTATACAATACAGCAGGCGCTGCATCGAACGGACAATGGTCCTTTTTTCGTTCAAATGGGAACAAGGGTGAAGGGAGAGCAACGTGGCGTGCGGCGTTAAAGGGAGGACGGACAGCGCGCGTGGTACGCGGTACATGGTAACGTAAATCATACCTCGAAATAGATTCGAACGGTCGATCGTGGATTGCGATGTCGGCGTGCCATAAACGCTCGAGCACAAATCCGATTCACGCTGAAATCTTATCTAAAGCCGAGCGCTATGTGCTAAGCCCGGCTCATTTCGTATCACGATTACGTGCTTTAATACGCGGATTAATACTTTCAGCGCTGTTAACGGGGTGACAATATAGCAATTTGTACAAACAATTATCACAAATGCAATAATAATCTGCAGCTTCCGTATAACAAATAATAAAAAAATCTCTCACATATATGTACATATTATACAAAAAAAGAAATTTGATATTAGTTTTTGTTAAGGAATCAAGAATTCTAAATATATTTATTAATTTAATTATTTTTAACGTCATTGCGTACTCTGAAAACTTTTCATTGGATTTCCGCAAATATAAATCGAATAAAATCACACGCAATGATTTTATTTTATTTTATTTTATTGTTATTGCACGTGCAAGGTGACCAATAACGATGGCGATTTTCCAGATGATACGACCTTCGTTTAAACAAAACGCTTAAACGACAAGCGGGAACGGTCCGATGAAATCGTGATCAATACGCGCAATGCACCAGCAATCATTGCGCTCGCGATTCGTTTGCTAAACGAATTTGGAAAGAGGACAGACGCGAGTATTGTCCGATGTTGCTCACGTTAAATACGTCAGTTTAATTACCTATTGAAACGCTGTAAACGAAGTTGGGTCGTACAGATGTTGACAATAGATTCGTTTACTCGAGCGCGCACATAAATCACGCAGCGATGCCATGTCGCGAATTATACTCATTACGATTATGAGAGTTTATCACTTCTACATTGTTAACGAGCTTATTAACAGGCCGGAAGCTATAGTCCGATGATATCACCGTCGCGTGCTATTAGAATGAAAATTCCGCTTTTCATTAAGTGTCACTGGTTCAATTAAAGTAGGATTTTCAATTTCCTGACGGAATATCAATTAGGTACCAATTTTCCAACGACAACGTCCTACTCTCGTTCCGCTAAGGGAAAACCCTGATTTCGATTCCGCTTTAATTACATCTGCCCTACACTGATTGTCTATTATGTGCTTCTAGACGAATCTAACAAGCTCCGAAGCTCTCTTCGCGAAGAAAGCTTTTAGCTGCAACAGTCTCGATCTCCAATCACTGCTCGTATTCAGCATCACTCACATTTTTTACGATTTTTTACGATATTTTGCACAATTTAATATGTTACAATATATAATGTTACATAATTCGATTATAATTCGATTCAACTTCTTAGCAAAATAAATTAAAATTTAATATGACAAATATAGAGAAATATTCTTTGCACACACAATTTAAGATTATTCCAAAATAATACTATTAATGTTTATATAATTAGGTGTAATAAATCAATTTCTTTGTATATTATATGTTAGAGAAAAAAGATTATTTTAATTATAAATATTAAAAAGTTTTTTGATAGAAATTAATCTACGAGAGTATAAAATAAATTATGCGTTCTGAACTTGATAAGGCTACGTTTCACTTTTAATCATTAATGTAGAAGCAAGTTAGGTATCTTATAAGAGATTTCCATAATTCGGTGAATGAATAAAATTGCCCGCGAGGGATCTCCTGGGGATTTTTCACCGCGAAGATATTCATTCCAAAATCTCTTGCGCGCAATATTCTCGTTTAATTCGATCTTTTAACCGTCCTCTTCAGATCCTGTGCGGGATTAGTGACGATGCGAAATTCCTTATATCGCAGCTGCCTCCTCAGTTCTCAATCTGCTCTCCCAATCTCGCGGGACATCATTCGTTGGTGTTCACTCGAATTCCAAACCTTCTCGATTTCGTTGCCTTTGAGTTTATCGAGCGGATAGAAGTCTGTGTATGCGCCGTATCTGTTTTGCGGTCGCTCGAGCTGCAAAAATTTTATGTGGAAACTGTAGAAACTATCCGCAAGACATGGTATTCTGACCTCTATACTAGCCCATCTCGGAGATGAACTTTGCAGCTCGTAGGCGGGAGGCGGACATATGAGAATCGATCGCGTTTCTCAATTCGAACACAAGCGATTTTCTCATCCTGTGTTCTTGATGATTACATTTAGCGTACACATATTTTTTATTCGCTGCGCGATATAAAATTACAATTAATACTTTCGTAAGATAATAATCAGCAAGATAAAGCTGTGAGAAATGACATAATTTATCAAAAAAAATATTAAAGTTTAAATTTTAATCGTGGCTTGTAGCGTACTTTTTTGCGTCATTCCTTGATATTTATTTAATTTTCTTCATTACTTATTTAATTATACATTAATTGTTATTATTTTTTTCTATAAAATAATTACTTTTTTTAATTCTTTTTTGTTTTTCTTGAAATATTTTTAAAATATCTTTTACATTTTATTATTTTTAACACTTTTATAAATGTTTCATGAATAGTCGTCACAAACATTGCAAAAATTTGTAAAAAAATATAACGTAATCTTAGAGACTTACCTTTCATCGCGTCTTGGTCACAAATATAAACCGCAAAAAGTGCAAAGAGAAAAAAAAGAAAGAGAGAGAGAGAGAGAGAGGGAAGGCAGAGAATGTTGTAACCTTATCGGTGAGGGGCAACACGTAGGTCTAATTAACTTCGCGTCGGTTCCAAGGATTTAATCCCGTGGAAAACTGGGTGCACCGAAAAGAGAAAATGTTAAGACTCTGCATCTTTCGCAATTCCGTGAAATCGCTCCCGGACAAATTGAAGATTTTCGAAGAGCAGGCGAAGTGAAGATGTAGATTTAATTTTTCCGCCGTTGCTCCGTTGCAGTGAACAGTATAAATTTCTTTAGACGGGAAATGAGATTAGATATCGTGAAGCGCAATCGAGATTTTCAGCAAAGATGCACTTTGTCAATTAATCTTCAGATTATCTTGCGCAAGGAAATAAGATTAATGACAAGATTAAAGGTAATTAAACAAACGATTATTGGGTGAATGATGATACCTTATTCTGTAGAATTAAAAAAAAGAAATTATAACATAATTAATTGTAAAGAAACGAATCCTTATTAGGAACAGACTAATTACGCTCCACTGATTACACACTATACTTACTTTTAATGCAAAATTGATAAAAATAACTTTGCTGTACGGTTAGTGATGTCATAGGTACAATTTTTATAAATGCAGTGCTTTACAAAAAAATAGAGAAACGTATTGCAAAATATACATATATCCATGATGACCCTCTGCACTGCAGAATTTTTATATATTTTAACGATTTGGCTAAAATTTAGCTCGAGAATCACGACAAACGAAATTATATTAACGAGAATACATAACAAAAATACTATTACTTTAACGATATTTTTTATTTTTTATTTTGTGATTTTTGTTACAATAAAGCCATAGTTGATTATTTCTTCGTCAGTGATTAATTATAATTATTATTATTTCCTAGTTTTATCAAATGTTATTAGTATTTATTTTTTAAAAGAAAATGATTACTGTAAGAATAATAGGCATATGATGTAACAATTGTAATTATCTGGACATTTTTTCTTACATAGTTAAGATTAAAACATTAACAAATAGCTTTCTAGGTTTAAAACTTTCTATTATATATCGCATTTTATTTCGCAGTATAGAATATCGAAAATATTGAAAAATGGATTATTTTTATAACATTGAATTACAGCCGGTGCTTGATTAGTTTGAAACAGTAAAGCAAAATTGTCTCGCAAGTTATTAACCTTTCAACATGCACGTTATTTTAACTCCGGCGCCAGTAACTGCGGAACGCGACTGAATCATGAAGCGACACTTACTGCTCGTTGACAAGTTGTTGAATCGAGGCTAAAAAGTAATTACGATGCATATACGCGATACGCGTGGATTTCACGAATTTAATATCCGCCGATTTGTCCAATGCCAGTTTAAACGCGACGTGTTATTTTCGGATGGTATGCGTTTACCAAGCCGCATAATTGCTCGCATGCTCATCGCTCTTCTCCGCGATTAACCGTTTAATTTATCGCGACGACGAGTGAAACGTTTGAGCACGGCTATCCCGATGATAGTTACGTAAAACGGATGGACATGTTAGAGCCTGAGTAAAGGTAATTTATCGAGCACTTAGTCTCTACAGTGACGTCATTTCTCGGAGCGTGAAAGATAATCTATCATTGTGCAGCCAGACAATCGTGGATCAGGATTTGCTTTCACGATTAAAACAGTTTATTAACGTTGAAGTAAGACGAATTGCCAGTCTATAGCACATGATCAATATATTCGTTTAAAAGATACGATTTGACAATTAGTTGGATTGTTGAATATTTTTTCTACAAGTATTTCGATAGATTTTTTTGTGAAAATGTTAAATACGTAAAAAACTTCCGTATATCAAACATTATACGTACACAAACAGTATAAGCTTTAATAAAAATTTAAAAATTTTCTAAAATATTTTAAGAATAGCGTTTACGATATTGCAACGCTCGGATAACTACTTAGATTACAAAGATTTTGATGTGAATACTTACTTATATTTTTATCTCTGTATTGCGGTCGCGCATCGCCGATGAAACATACGAAGAGCACCCACACTGCGAACCAGCACGTTCCCATTTCGACCTGAAATAAGAAGCGATATCCTAAATAGGTTTAATTAAGAATTCAATGGCGCGGCGTACAGCACATTACAGTTTCTTTACGATTGCAATGTTACCGCAGCTTTTGCATGATCTTTTGCTCTTAGTAGGTAAAACATAAAATAAGTATTATAAGGAAATTTAATAACGTATATAAAATCAACATTTCTTGATTTATTCAATTTAATAGACATGTAATAGCTTACCCAATTACAGAGTTTTTAAAAGTTTACAAAATTTTGATAATTCAGTTTTGTCAAGATCTTGGAAACGTCTACTTTAAATTTCGGTTAAGGTAGCATAAAATAGTTAGAACAGGATCTATATATACATATACTATACATATAGATATGTATAAAGCAAGTTTATCACAATAAATTCTAGTCGCTTTTGCTTGCTCGGAAGGAGCGTCGTCGTTTCCTTACGAAAACTTATCGTTTCCCGTTGCGTTTCTTCCGATCCATTATTGTACTTGTTGTGGCAAAGTTGCCGCCCACAAAAGGATAAGCGTTTTAATTTATAAAAGTTTTAAATTTATGTTGTCTGTTTTACGATTTAACTCTTCGAAATACACGAGATGCCTTTGACATCAATAATATCGCTGAATTGTTCTGCGACTTTGAATACAACGAGTCTTTGATAATTGTATATCTTTCACAACTTTTTTAAAAGATTGTCAATCTTTGAGAAATTTATAGTGCAACTTCAATTTTTATTTTGCCACTGCTAGAACAAATGTATATTCACTCGCGGCTTTATAGTTTGAGCAAAAAGATCGATGGTTGTATTTGTACGTTTCTATAACTACGCCGGATCATCGACCTAGCTCCGTAATCGCTGAGGGGATAATGCTCCTCAACCATCGAGACGGAGACAATCCTTTGCGGCAATCGCGCGGATAATCGAAAACTGGGAGAAAGAGTACACGGAGTATAGGATTCGCGACGATGGAACACGGGGCTGAATATTTCCGGGTTTCCAGCGGGCATGCACAGAGATGTTATAAAATATTTCTTTGAGGATTTCGACTGTGCAGAAGATATATATTTCATTCGACAAGCGTTTCTGCGCGGCACGTATTCGGATCTCCATATCAGTTTCCACGAATATTATTCGGCAGCCGAGCGCGGAAAAGTTTTCTCCGCGTGAGATGACGACACGATTGCTTTATCCGTGAAATTAACGGGATTTCGTTGTCATGATGACACCAGCGTGCTTCTGCGTGCGCATTTTATCGCTGCTTCCGAAAGAATACGCGCCGATCGTTCTCGTCTCGTTTCGCGACGTAATATACCGGAACGTCAACTCGAGGACGTCAATCGTTTCTAGACTGAAATCGCCCAGCAAATTGCTGAGGCAAAGATCCGAAGATATAAAAAAATATCGACTGACATTAACGCTCACGGTAGATTTATTAAAAATCTGTTTTTGCATTTTGAATCGCAATTTTTATTAAACAAACTAATTGTCAGAATATTTCATCACTGAAAAAAGCATGTATAATTTTATGTTACTTTTTCATACATATTTAAAAATCGAAGAATTATATATGTATTTTTATACTCTCTAACGTATAAAAAAATTAGATGAACAATTTATTTCTAAATTAAGTTAAATTTGATTAACTAAAGAATTTATTTTTTATTCAAATTTAATTATATTTGCAACTCGTATGCCGAATATGCTCAAATCGGTATTCTTAAGATTACAAGAAGATTAAAGGCACGTTATTGTTAGCGGCGTTTTTGGAAAACGTTGCAGCCGTTCTCGCGTTTCATCCACTCACATACATTTCGTGAAGGAGCGAGCCAGAGTGTGTTCGAAGGATAGACATCTCCTTCCTCGAGGCGGTGGATATATATCCCTTCTGAAGGCTTATCTATCGAAGAAGCTGCCCTTTCCGGAGAAATCCCCCAGACGAGCAGCGTAAAAGTTCCTATTCTCCCTCGAAAGGAAAACATCGTCTAGTACTCGAAGTGCAGGTCCTCCTCTCAACCCCAGGATCATCTCGACCAAGAGTACACGAATACACGTGACCTCGCGTACGCACACACACGTTCACACACGCCCGACGACGAAATGATACTCGGGCGTGAAGTGGCAACCCCCGCTTTCGAGGATCCTTCGAACCTTCATCGATCACTATATATATCTGCCTCAACTTCTCCACGTATCTCGTTTCATGGTTAGCCGGCTCGAAAATATTTCCCATCCCTTTTCATCGCAGTGGGAAAGGGCGACTTTAGTGCCGCCGCCAGGACGCGAAATTTAGAACCCGTTCTACGGAGGTAAATAAAACGTATTCTCGGATCGTCGGATCATTGAGTTTCTGAATCTCTGGATACGCTGATCCCAGAATTATTTTTTTCTCTCACCGTCTACCTATCAATAAAATACGTACGTGCGAATCATTTTAGATAGCTTCTTAAGAACAAAATGACTATATTCTGATTATTCAAGTGTATTCGCATTTGAATCATTCACATTCAACGCTGTATACGGTAGTACGATTCTTTATTTTGTTTATTTAATATATAGATTTCAATCGAGACATCATCACAAATTGAAAACTGCACGGCCATTTAAGCAGTATATTCAAGTTAAAAGTAAGCAACTTTACCTGTTGTAATTAATGTTTCGTCTAAGTGTCTTAGTAAGTACGTTCTCGGTACTTACTAAGCTTGAAAGCAGTATAATTTCGGTAAGTTCAGTCATCAGTGCTGGAAACACACGGATCTACTTTGTACATATATTCATAATAATACGAAAACATAATATACGTATACCATAAGGCATATATGTAAAAATTCAAGGTAGTTACAGCAGTTATCTCGTTTAAGGGGATCCTAAAGCCGTCTGTAATACCGGCTTTTTTTCTTAGCACTAATCTTTTAATTGACTTTATAGAAATACAAAATTCTTGTCTAGAATTAAAGTACGCATCAAAATCTAGGTCATAGTGGTCAAATTTATATCGAAAACGAAAAAAAATTAATATTTTTGTTAATTTTTGGTATACGTGACGACAATATTTGCTTTGTACAAAAATTCCACGATAAATATCCACAAAATTAGACCGGCATGACCTAGGGACAACATTTAAGAACAATATCGTGCAATTAGATCTAAGATTGAAAACCTAGAAAAAAAGATTACTTTATATAACTTTTATATGTGCAAAAGCACATTCAGGTTGACAGGATAAGCAATATTGCGTGTGGCAAGAGATGGCGCAGTAATCGAACAAAGACAGATGCCTCTCGTTAGACAAGGACAGATATAGATATATGACAAGAAAACAGAATTAGAAATGTTGACATTACCGACGTCGAGGAAGTTCAGCCTTCACTTTAGGATCCCCTTAAGAATAAAAAAGTATTTTGATAGAAGAAAGACATTAAATAATAACTCTTTACAGACAATTAAACAGTATTATTTTCAATTCAGTTTTTTATTTATAGCATTAAAAATTGAACTAACTAATATAGTTTTAAATTTCAAGTATTGATTAAGAAACAATAAACTTGATTGTAAACAACAATAATCTTCAGAAAGAGAATAAAAGTTCAGGCCTTGCGAATCTCGTAAATCTCGAATGAAAACAGATGACAAAAGAAGAAAGAAGGGAAGCATTGCCAATAGACTCGACGAAAGTAGAAAGTAGAAAAATTTGCGAGACAAATTTCCGTCAGCGACCCTACTGTGTCCGGCTGAGTAATAATTAGGGCTCTTCGTCACTGAAGTGGTAGGCCAACCGATGCTTTCACAAGAAAGCCTTTCGATCGAACAAACTTCCTTTTGCTAACTAGCTCTCCAAAGATTAAACTAATTGTAAGTCTTCATTTATTGCAGAGAAATGCACTTTCTGGAAGAGTGAGAAATGACGATATATACACACAACATACGTATATTTCATAGACCTAGAATAATCCTAGGTCTATGGTATATTTATATCGCAATCCGTCGCGTCGCGTAAAAGAGTCACGGTCGGTCTCGCTCCGCGTGTACTTGGCGCGAGACACTACCGTGTCTCTTGATTCATTCTTTGGCTGTTAAAAACTAAATTGTTTATAAGTGCGTAAATACACGATATTTATAAAACATAAAAAAATATAATTATAATGCAAAATATATAAAATAGAAGAATTTTTATTATAAAGATTAAAATTATTAGTGTATTAATACTTTTGACTCGTCACAAAATTTTTATAATAACCGTAAAATATAAATTGATTATTAACTTGATTTGAACTTTTAATTTAATTGTGAATACTGGTTTATGTATAAAATTATTAAAAAGTCTATAATAGTTAATTTATTTAACGTCTTAGTGTTAATTATTCTTAAATTAAAGCTACAATAGAAAGAAGAATCTTATAGTAGCAACTTTTGATAATTTGAATAACGCTAAATAAATGGCAATGTATGGCAATTACATGAAACGGCAACCGCGAAATAAACGGAGAGATAAGAAACAAAGCACGACAAAACATATTTAGTATACTTTAAAACTGGGCAATGTTTCACAAAAGAAATAAAATTAAATTATAGGAATTACAATTTTTTTATATAATTATAAAGGCAATCTTATATCTTATCACACAAGTAGTATATAACAATGAACAGGTTTAATTTACTTTTATCACTTTAATACAATTATTCACACATTTATTTTTATTTTAACACTTTCTGAAATTCAACCTTGAAAATTACGCAATGTAGCGAAATGCAGCGTTCCGCAAAATAAACTCTAAAGTAAACAATTTTCACGTCACTCATGGGATTAGAGGATTATTAACAATGGTATGGCAGCAATAATCATAATAAATAGCACTATCTAACCCAGTGATATTGTAGTAGAACAAATATCCGGGAATGACTTTCCCAGAGCTGCGAACGATACTAAAAGTTATTAATGACGGTCTCGGCAACCTCCGTTTCGCCTTATCCTCATGGAGAGGCGAGAATTAAGGAAGG